ATTCTAGGTGGTGAAAAAGGAGGTCCCTTTAAAAATCTAGCCCTGTGAATTAGATTTTCAGTGCCTACTCTTGGAACGTATGCATTAACTACAGCTGTGCACGCCTAGGCCACGATTGCCTGTGTAAATTGCTGGCAATGCATAAGAAGCTACTAGGTTGCCCAATTCTGTGATTTGAGCATATATTAAATGTTAGTGCAGCAGGTATGGTGCTGTTTGAGATTGCTAGATATTATGAAAATCTGGCCCTGCATGGTCAAAAACATTACATGTTGCTATTCAGCACTTTGTCAGCATTGAGAGGCATATTATTGCCAAAAAAAGGCCAAAGATGTGCGATGAGGTAGGTCCTTTTTACCTAGCTTCACTGCACTTACTGGACACGCAGTGAGATCAGGACTTGGGTGTTACTGTCACTGCACCTTTACTCACAGTTAATGGCCGTCTCCTAATGATGGTTAAATACCTCACACCGATGCCTTTGAACATGTTGATCATTTAACACGGTCTGAACCATGTGCCTTATCCAGCGGGGATCCATGAGTAGAGTTTGTTTTCAGCATCAGAGGGTCTCAGAGGTATCAAACGATGGCCTCCCTTCTCTCCTATGGATTGCCTAAAACACACTGAACGCACACCATAACTAGCAACCAGATCTGTTAGCAGCTATAACAGAGGAGCCAAATTTCTGCAATGGCAAAAAAAGAAGAGTGTCCCTCTCTGACCTCTGGATCTGCACTGAAATGGGAGTCAAACCATGATCAGAAGCCATGCATTTTGCTTCTTAGTAGAGAGAGTGAGAGAGAGAGGATTTTCATCTCCTGAGCAGTTTTGTGATCATTTTTATTCCCACAAATTAAAACGAATCATTTGGTATAGGGAGATGAGTTACATGTTTGGAACAGGCAGCTCATGAGAGCACAATCTTTTAATCAATGAAATCGGAAAAAAAGCCCCCCAGGTATCACTCACAACTGCCTATTACTGGCATTTTCACTGGTGCTGTGTTTAAACCCATGTATCCCCTGAGATTAGTAAAGCAAAGGACACGTATCTTCAGACCTGAATTAAGTTCTTGAAGGGAACGCTTTACCTTACATAACAACAGATCCAGTCTCTTATATTCTGGAAAACAAATCTATTTATGCAAGAAGCATTCTTCTGGTGTTTGGATAAAAAAATGATCTTTAGCTTGAAAGATTTTTTTTCTGTATGGCACCTAGCTGTGCCTTCACCTTCAAGAAATACCACATTGTCACAGGGCTAGTGCCTGGTATGCCACTGTAAAGGAATTTATAAACCTTGTGTATTCTAACTTGATGAAATTAAAGCAGTTTCACTGCCTCTGTGTTGGAGTATGAAGGATATGGAGGATTTCTCCTGTGAAATGGAGAAGGAGTGGAAGACCTGTGCAGGTCCGTGCTGTTAGGAAGAAAAGCAAATTCTGCCTCGTAGTTTGCAAATAATGGCATTTTGCAACCTGACAAAGAACCCTAAATGCCCGAACCCTATTAATATATCGTAACACTTCAGCAAGATCTTTTTTCTGTGTGGTGCAAAATAATGCATATATTTGTGTCTCACGTATTCTAGAGATCCTTCATTACAAATTTCAGGTTGAATCCCTGTACAAAATAGGCATCAAAATATCTAATTCTATTTAAATTGGTGGTCGCAGGAGTAAAAAGCCCATAAAACCAGAGACATCACACCATCTTGTGTCAAATTTGCAGCCTGCTCTATGTTTTGACTGACCTTGTCTTCCACAGCTTGAGGGACTCCTTCCCCAGTGACCGAGTATCTGAATTGCAGCTCTAATAGCACATGGAACGCGTTGTCTGCAGCTATTACAAAAGCAATCTCCACGTTGGGGTGTGGGATGTAGCGGGTGGGGCTTTCGGGAGGTGGCATCTCATCCATGTGTTTGTGGTAACCTTTATAATCCAGGTTTGAAGCGACTGCAAACCCACGAGCGGACACCGACTTCCTATCAAACTGTCAAAGGCATAATAAAAACCCTGTCACCAGGCACTGGTGTCAGTCCTTGCTAGGCAGAATAAGGAACCTGCTTAGGCATAACTGAAATTGTTCTGTTCTGGAGTCATTGTTGAGAACAAGACTTTTGTAACACTTTGATATCCGTGGAAATTAATCTAATTTGTTCCCCTTTCTAATTAGCTTCTTCACGTCACACCCAAGTTCTGAGGCTTGCAAGGGTAATAATAATTCTGTCAGGTTCTTCTTCACTTAGAAACCAGCAGAGAGATAATTTCGATTTCAAAATAAAGAGACAGAAATATTTTAAAAGAAAAATGTTATTTCTCCCAAATTACAGAGTGCTGCTCTCTGGTGCAACATTATTATTCTGTGTCGCAACTTATTAAATGAAGCAGTTTATGGTAGCATCTCTGAAAAATGCTATCCTTTATTGAAATGAAAGTGAGTAATAGCATGAGGACTGTAAAATAAAAAGGCAGAATATCTTCTTCTAGGCCATTACAAAAATACATGTATTGTCTATTTGACAATCAATACACTACCATAAAATAAAACGGAGCGGTGGTATCATCATCATAATTTCTATTTCAGATGGTTTGCTGAGAGCCAAATTGTGTCATTTATGGAGAAGAATGACAAATGGTTTAATTCAATATCACATGCATGTGTATACATGGGCTGAAATTCTGTTGCAGCTCAAAGCTGTTAGGCAAATATTTTAGTATCATCACAAGTTTAAAAACAACAGACACGTGGGAATGCATCCATTTATTTACACTGGTACTGACTTAAAACTCAAAATGTTATTTGATGCTTTTAGAGCACTGCTGTGGGATGTTAAATTGCTGCTGAATCCTTCCTGTTCTGCGACACCTTTCAACCTGCCAAGATGCATGATGATGATGATGATGATGATAACAGCAGTAGCGCAGGGATCTTTAAAACAATGCGTGGCTCATTCCCGGAAGATGAATGCCATTTTGACTACCCCCTTTTTTATGATTCAGCATTTCTGATACAACAAAGTGAAATAATGAAAGTAAAATAACAACAGGTTTGTGTGGGATGAGAAAGGGAAAACGAGCATGTGCATTGTCAGGATTTCTGCAGAAATCGTAGAGAAAAAAAAAAGCTTTTATAAGCGGCATTCCCCCCACACGCACCCCGGGAAAATTCCTCCCTTTGTTTTTACTATTCACTACATTTCCTTCTTTTATTCCCTGTTCTGATCTCGTCCTTTTGTTCCTCTTCCCTCCTCAGTTGCTTCTCCTTCCTCGTCGCAGCGGGAGGCTCCTGGCATCTGGGGACGGAGAGCCACGGCCGCGGGATGGCGCAGGGCTCGCCGGCAGGTGAGCTGCTGCTGCCTGGGGCACCGCTGCCAGAGGAGAAGAAAGAAGGGGGCCCACAGCTTGCTGCCATGTACGTACAGGGCCTGTTCCCTCCCTGCCTCCCTCGTTGCTCTGCCTCATTCCCAGGGACGGGGTGGGTACAAAGCTCTTGCATGTGGCGTTGGGAGCTTTCTACACCTGCCTTGCTCAGGGCTGGGGGAGCAGAGGAGGAAGAGGTGAGGTGGCAAATGTATTTTCAGGTGAGGATGTCGGCTATGAACTACCCCTCTTGGCTGCGCTCGGCATGGGCTGGGAAGTGGGGACATAGGTGCTGCTGGGTACCTGCCTCCCATCTCCATCCAACACAGTGGAGTTCAGTGAGGGTCCAGGCATGGCCACTGCCACAGGTAGTGATAATCACCAGCTGCCCCACAGGGATGGAAGGGAGAGGGCTTGTTTGTTCCCCTCTTACCAAAATAGTTTTATCACCTACAGACACTTGGTAAGTATTGCTGCAAGTATGGCACACTATTACAGGAAATCTTTGCTTTGAGAAGGGATCAGAGGTCACCACTGCAGGGGATCAAGGGCTGATTTATTAAACAGCTAAATCTATTTGAGATGCAGTTCCTCAAAAAAAGTCATGTACTTGCAGCCATATAAATGGGTAAGAAGATATGCCAGTTAATGCCTGTATTTATGTTCCCCAGGCACAAAGCCCCAGCTCAGAGGGCAGACATAGGTGGCTGCTGTCAGCCGAGTCATCTCCAGGCCTGCAGGTCTGTCACTTCTTCAGGACCGGTTTCTGCTCCTGCCACACTCTTGTTCCCTGCATGGAACCTGCGGGAGCAAGTGCAGTACGCGCCTCGATTTTGCTGACATTGCCCCAACAACACTTGGTGTCTCGTGTGCTGGTAATGACGGGGCTTGCGTTGGAGCCTACACGGGCGGATCTGGGATGGGGGACCCAGCGTGGGGATCTCGTACGCCCTATCTCCAGCGTTAACACAAACGTAGTGAGCAGAAATCCTCCCCACGAGGTCGGCCGGCGTCCCAGACCCGCAGCCCTGGACAGGGTCAAACGCGAAGGGCACATGGGCACGTGCCTCTCCCCGGGGCCTGCTTCCCTCTCCGCGGCCCCGAGCGCTGCGCCGGTAGCGGCGGCCGAGTCCCGTCCAGCGGTGCTGCCGCGGCCCGGGGCGACGCGCTGCCGGGGCCGACCCGGGCCCCGCTCCTCTCGCCCGCCACTGGCTGTGACCGCGCCTGGGCGGCGGCGGGCCGGCTGCCGGCAGGGGGCGCTCTGGCTCCGGGAACGCGCTGCCGCCTTTGCTCGGCCTGCATCCACCTCTCCGGCCCCCCACCGCGGTGTGTTACGGAGCGGCCCGCTGCCGCCCCACGGGGACCGGCACTGGGACGAGGGCTACCCGGGAGCCCTGCAGGTACCTCGGGTTCGCACCGCAGCGCGGGGAGCGAAGAAGCTGCCACCTTCGGGGCACAGCCTGGCCGCCGACCCGAGGGGCGCGGACCGTGGCGCGGGCGCTGACCGTGGCTCAGGTGCGGCCCATCTCGGCTCTCTCCGCAGCAGTGGCGCCGAGCAGCGGCAGGGCAGCGCAGAGCCCGCGGGGAGGAGGAGCTGCTGGCCTCGGCCCCGTGGGTTCTGCGGCCGGTCGGGCCCGGACCCGCGGAGCGAGCCGCCAGCAGCAGAAGTTGGTGACAGCCGTGAGCTGCCCGTGCCTGCCGCCGGCCGCTTCCTTTGTGCGTTTGTGAGCACTTGGGGTGACATTCCTTCCTCCGTGCCCGCGGCGGCGAGTTAACCTTCGTCAGTGCTGGGAGAGATTGTTGTAAACAGACGAAAGGAAGAAAAGCCTTTGTGAGTTTTGCAGAGGTGCTTTAAACACACGGTTAAATGACAGGCGGAAAACGATGTGTTTTTTGTAATTGGCGAGTTTCTTCACATTCAGGTTGATGCGCTTCCTCAGTACAGACACGTATGGCAAAGAAATACTTGGTTTCTTTGAGCATATCTTTGATCACAGTTTATAATTACTACCTATGTACACCTATGTATCTTTTGAGAGTCAGTAATAAAAATTGTTTTTATTAAAAGCCTTAAAGATTAAAAAGGACACAGGAAAATTTGCTGTCCAGCCTAGCATCCGGAGCACTCCTTCCTCTTACGTACGATCCAAGCATTTTGGACTAGATCCTTAGCAATATAATTTGGCATAGTGAACCTCACTGATTTACCTCAGCTGAAGATCTAATTCCAGTACATGACATACTTAGAATATGTAAAAGATATTCCAGAGGCACAAAAAAGCGTGGTCTCGCGTTTCAAGAAAAATCAAACTAAGCCAGATTAAACCAACATAAATTCTTACTCTGTACCACAGTAATTACCTGTCGTGACTGCAAATTCCCTGTTTTCCTCAAGAAATACAGTCATGTTTTTAACCAGAAGCTGCATGCAATGCTTTAAAACAAAAAGAAACAATTTCTTGTTTGATATTTTTGTAATAGATGTGCAATTATTTCACTCTCGGGTATGTGAACAAATCTTTAAGAGTTGAAATGCATTGTGCATTATTATTTCATATCCTGTACAGGCTTTTAGTGACTTCACCATTCCGAGTGGCTTTAAGATGAGATGTTTGATAGTCACATTTTTAAAGTTTTATTTCTGTGGTGTTTTACTTGCCTGGTCAGATTTATCCACCAGTGCTGCGTGGTGACCAGGCAGCAGCTCAGGTAGTGGCTTTTCAATTATTTAAATAGGAGGTTTCCCAAATCCCCTTCTGGAATGAAAGGTTCTTCAGGAGAAGGGGCAGGTTCCCCACACTCAAAGCCGATCTCCCTGCTGACTCCCTTCCCTGGCCTTCCTCAGTGATTTCTCTACCGTGTCAAGGCATTTTGCTACCAAATAAATATTCAGAGGTGGGGAGTGAGGGGGGAGAAATGTGGGAAAAATAGGCCTCCCAGGGAGCTATTGATTTGAGATATGAAACATTGTATTGATACAAGAAAAACTCAGACATAAGGAAGCAGTTTGATATTGCACAATATTTGAGAAAAATCGTGTGCATCTGTTTAGCACAATGTACTGCATAATGACAGCAATCTTCCCTGTTTGTATCTATTCATCTGATTATACAGCGTAACAATTCTTTTTGCCACACATTTGTTTACCAAAGGATTTTTTTTAATGGATAATAAATTAGTAAATCAGATATCGTGCTCTTGGGGAAATGCGTTAGTTGACTCCCTACACACAAGATAGTTGTGGTTCTTATTTTATGTGATACTCAGTGATACTTGCATATACAGATGAAGTTACATGCTTCCCTTGTGGCGAAGACAAAGGAAGTTTTAAATCACAATTTAGCACTCTTTCATCTAGGCACATGTTATTTTGAAAAGCTTCAGTTTTTAACACTGCGGTGCAGCACTGATGTAATGAAGAGCTTTGACTTACTTGAAGTATAACCCAGTGGCCTTCTTTTGATGCTTTTTCCATAGCTATTTCTGCTGCTGCTTCCTGTCCTTGACCCAGTGATACATTGTGAAGTTCTCGTGAGTCAATGGTAAATTCAGACTTGCTCCCTAAACAGAACAATATACTGTACTACTTCGAGCCAAATAATGGAGTGCTCAAACAAGCAAGTGTTGTGTACACAGTGTTTAAATGGCACTGTATCTCATGAGTCATCAAAGTAAAAAAGCAGCCCTCAAAAATACAGTTTCAATAAATCAGCTGAGCTGGGCTATTGTATTGCTTTCTGGCTGGGTATTCTGTATTAGCAAAATACTGCTGTAGCTGAAAAGCAACCCAGAAGTGGAACAATTGATTCCTTCTGATGGATTCCTTACCTATTGCCTATATAAATATTTCAATGCGCATAGAAGTGAATATGTTAGAAATGTATCTAAAGAAAAAATAAGAAATGAAATTAGTGTCTCACTAAAGTTAACATTACCCACAGGCAATACAAGGAGCTACACAGAAGTCCTTACGTTGGCATTAGCAGGTGGTTTGGTCAAAAGAGGGTTAGCAAGTTTTCAGCGTATCTAGGCAGTAAGGTCAAAGCTCTTCCTCAAGTATACTTACGCAAAGATGATGACTTATGCTAGTAAAATGCAGAAGAGCAGACAGCTACCTCTCATTTCAGAAAGCAGCCAGCATTCACCCAGGCAGCTGCCTGAGTCAAGCACTGTAACTTTCATCAGATAGTATGTGTTCCAGATGTAACGCTGTCTCCGCATTAATGTGACAGCACTTGGCAGTAATGGAAAGGCCTCATTTATTTCTCTGGTTGAATATCTAAGATCAGTGGTATTTGCTAGCTCCTCTGGTAGAAACTTCTTTTACTTCATGGTAAATGTCATGTTTTCTTATGATTGCTGGTGATAGGGTCTAGTCCAGACTAATCTAATGGCTCAGAATTGACAAGGGGGCCAGTCCAGGGTATGAATGCTCCTGGGGAACAGCACTACCTTCTTCAGAAGTTTTTGTGAACACTGGGCTCATTTTGTTACAAGTTACATTTGGGCAAAGTTCCCATTAATTAAGAATTAGACTTGACAGAGCCTTGTGAAAAACAACAGTAAGGTGTAAGACCCCTCTATGGGGCATAATATTTTATCATGACTTCTGTACAACACACGTTAGGGTCACTCACAGTGCAATCTGTCCTTCAGAGGGCTGAGGCTAGTAATGCAAACTGACAGTGTAAGTCATCCCGACTGATTTGCTGTCTCACATAGTTATCAGGTTCAGGAAAGAACTTTTTTGCTTTTCATTCTCTTAGAAATTTCATTTTTCTGGACATTCTAAACCAGCTTCTGCTTCTCCTTTCCAGGAGCCTTCAGTGTCTCTGTTCAGGTAACAAAATTTATTCATCATTGTCGACACTTGAAAGGTAGAGCCAGTACATTTGAGCACAAGCATATGGATTTTGAAAATCAAGGAAAGGTTTTGATTTAAAAAAAAGCCCCAGTGTATCGGTTCATTATTATAGACACACGGCACCCTGATTTCTGTCCATCATACAGTTAGAGAAAATCAAAGTAACTGGTGAAATCCAGAGAGTTCACAAGGCGTCAGTTTCTGTAAGTAAAAGCTTTAGTACGCAATGGCTCTGCAATTAATAGGAAATATCCATTATATTTATCAGTGTTTATTTTCACAAAAAGTTTGGATTTAATTTGTGGTCAAATTCCTGGTTTAAAACATTTTTAAATCTTTCAAAACCATGCAATGCAGACTGGATATTGTACACATAGAGAAGCATTTCTTCTAGTACATGAGTTTGTTCACAGATGTGTCAGCTTGCAAGACCAGCTAAGCCTTCACTAAAATACAGACAAAATTCTAAATGTAAGGCTCTTCTGCCTCCACAAATTAAATGTGTGCTTTTGTGTGTAAGTCTTTTAGGATGGCAACAAGGCTCGAAACACTCAAGTGTGCTAGGAAAGAGTATTAATACAATATTCCAAGGCTAGTTGAGCTCAGATTTCTTTAAAAGAGGAATAGTTTCTATGAAGAAATTGCCAGATCAAAGATACATGGTGAAATGATTAAAATCTTAGAAGTCTGTAAGAAGTGCATCTAAATTTTCCCCTCCTGTAAAAGGCAAAAAGGCAGCTCCACACCATTAGTTACTGTGTTGTACAGGGATGTGCTGTGTTCTGTTACTTGGTGTTTAATCCAGAAGTGCATTCAGCTATGTATTAGTAGTGAGTGCTGAATTATAAGCCATCAGAGCAGCAAAAGATAGGACAGAAAGAAACTGTTGGCTGCAATTGCCCCTTTGAAAAAGAACAGGGATTCTGAGAGGGCAGGGAAGGAGTTTCCGTGTCCCCAGTGGAGTTTATTATTCTCTGTAAACAGGTAAACCAACCCTGGCTCATGAAGATACTTTAGAATAGGAAATGTTTTGCCTTTGAAATGTACCAGATTACATGTCATTTCAAATAGTGTTCATGGCAAAGATACCCCTGGGACCACCTTACAAGAGCTTTATTTCTTGCCTGCAAATTAGTCAGTTCAAAACACTTCTCTCATCTCTGCCTTCAGCTCTTAATACCACACACGCTGTTTGTAAAATAGGGGAGTGAAAAGACCCTGAATACAATGGTACAATTAGAAAACTAAAACAAAAACTGTAAAGGCAACAACAGGATGGGTTTCAGCCGACAAGGAAAAGAATGAAATTTCGGTGCCTTTTTGGAGGCATTTCAATAAACCCTCTTTTTCCCCTTTCAGCAGGGGCTCACTGAAGCAGCTATGTTTTCTAAATGGCAGACAGACAATAGCATCTAAATTATTTTTAAGAAAGCACTTATAGCACTAAGCACCCACTACTACTAAATCCGCCTTAGAGGAGAAGGGTGGAGGAAGAAGAAAGGTCAACAAATGTATCAAGTTCTTTGTGTAATGCCTCACTGACATTTTCCAGCTCCCTCAGCTGGCTTTTATTTTTTTATTTTATTTTTTTAGAATCCTGGTAAAATGCAGTAAAGGATTTGAGGTTATTGTCTGTCTCTCTCTAACTTCTGACATCTCTTTATAACAAGAAAGAGTCACAGCCAACTGTAACAGGAGGGCAACACAATGGATCCTGGTAAGACAGGGAAGGGGGGAGGTTCAACTTTGCTGCCCCTTTGCCCCTATTTCTTCCTCACAGAACAGAAGTGCCATCTGTTCCTAGTCCTAACATGCATGCATTTGATTTCCATTCAGTAATAACTAACACAGGAAAAAGATTATCAAGTGATCTAAAGCACTATCAGCATTAGCAAGTCTTCCCCATCCAGTGTTTTGTTTGCACCTCCAAAGATTTGCAGATGAAATGGATATGGGCAAGTGCCTTAATTGCCTAGAATTACTCTCTTCTCTGGTAGAGGACCATATGGTCAAGGTGTGGAACATGAGCAGAGTAAGGATATTTAGGTGCTTTTAGGAAAATCAAATGAGAGGATGGATGGTTAGATTCTTCAACCTGAATTCAGTACACCAATCTCTATCAGTTGGTGCTGTAATATATTGTTTTATGAATGCAAAATCAAGTCACAGCATATTGTGTGAGGCTGGACAGTCAGTATTAAAGTATGAGCATGTTTCTAAAGAATCTGTAAAAATGCCCCTTACGCTTCACAGTCAAATCTGTTGTATTCACAAGTAAAAAGCCCAAGACCACCAAAATTACCTAACACTTTCCAGTCCAGCAAACTCAGTTTAAGGTTGTGCTGGTTTTGGTTGGGGTACAGTTAATTTTCTTTGCAGTAGCTGGTATTGGACTATGGATTGCTGGTGAAAACAGTGTTGATAATTCAGGGATGCTTTCCCTATTGCTGAGCAATGCTTACAGGGAATCAAGGCCTTTTCTGCTTCTTACACTGCCCTGTCAGTCAATAGGCTGCGGGTGCACAAGAGTTTGGGAGGAGACACAGACAGAGCAGTTGGCCTCAAATGACTGAAGGGATATTCCATACCATATGATGTCTCACTCAGGATATAAGCTAGGGAGGAAGTTGGCCAGGGGGCACTGCTCAGGAACTGGCTGGGCATTGGTCGGTTGGTGGTGAGCAATTGTTTTCATTTGCATCATTTGTCTTTCTTGGGTTTTATTTCCCTCTCTATTTTTTTTAATGTTCCTTTTCATTACAGTATTATTATTTTCATTATCATTATTATTATTAATCCAGTTATTTTTACTTTTACTATTATCTTCCAGTTATTAAAATGTTCTTATCTTAACCCGTGAGTTCTCTCACTTTTTACCTTGCAATTCTCTTCCCCTCATCCTGCTGAGGAGGGAGTGAGCAAGAAGCTGTGCGGTGCTTAGTTGCCAGCTGCGGTTGAGCTGTGACAATCTTTTTGGCACCCATTGTGGGGCTTGAAGGCTTTGAGGTAATAACAGATTGATCAGAGTGTATTATAAGGGATTTATATTTCCTCTGTTAACAGTTGCAGGTCATGATATTGATTCATGTGTTCTCAATATTAGTTTACTTGATTTTTTTTTTTTTTTTTTGCTGTGCCTGTTAAAGATTGGTGTTGGCTTTTGCAGTTTGCTGTGCTCTGTAGTGATTAGTGATGTTTTGCCTGGGAAATTTGTTACTAAAGCAATGACCTTGAGCTTGATCTGGTATATGGGTTTTGTTCTGAAGCCATTACTGTACATCTTATGGAGACAATTAACAATTGTACTTCTTCCTCTCAGTTTTTTTGTCAAGGAAGTACAAAATAGCACCTTCACTACCTTCTTCCATGATGTTTTCTCTCTTGTTAAAATAGCTTCTCAATATCTTGAACATCCTCATATAGTTGAAATAGCCAGTTGCTACCATGGCAGTGCACCGGTGACAGTATTGCAACAGTCAAGACTTACTGGTTCCCATCCATGTGTTGATCCATTAACTGGAGAGTCAAGGACTGACTGGTAATACTCATTCACCTTTAACAGTCCCATTTGGCCAGTGTAAAAATCTAATGAAGGGCGGAGGCTAACAGTGGTCTGTTGAGGCTTGAACAAAGTTACACTGCTGCTGAGTGCTGCCTTACCAGATGTGGTGGAACTCCAATATGAACTGGAGTCAAAGGCAGCCACACAGTGGAGGAATTTTTTGAGACAGGGAGAAGAGCAATCCAGATTCTTTTGAAAGCTGGTTTTACTGTCAACCAAAGTAAGGTCAAAGGATCTGCACAGGAATTCAGTTTTTAGGAATAAAATTATATTACTGTTTAGGAATAAAATTACACTATATGTTATTTTCCTTTTCACTATGTGTTATTATTGTTACTGTTACTGTTATTGTTATACTGTTCTTATCTCAACCCATTCCAACTCTATTCCCCCATCCTTCTGGGGGAGTGAGGGAGTGGCTCTGTGGTGCTAATTTGCCAGTTAAACCACAACAAAGATCCAAAACTCAAGAAGATCATCTTTTGTTCCTAACTTGCTGCAGGTGCTGGCGACACCATGGGTCCCGCAGTTATGCCCAGTTTTGACTGATGTCTTACTGTTGAAAGCAATTGAGTGCAGCAGCAGATGTCAGCAAAGGAAAGATGCCTACAAAGTGCTGTTGCAAACCATGGTGCAGTAGGTGCAGTGGGATTTCTCTGTCCCAGCCCTTCAGGAATTTCAGTGTTCTTTCTTGTTTTCTTTACCTGATTATTTTAGCAGCCTCTCATTTCTCCATCTTCTTATCCTTTCCCCTTTTGCTGCTGCTGCCTGCCCACCTTGCTACTTAGGCACTTCTATGTCCAGAAACTGACCCTGTCAGATGCCAGCTTTCTTCCCAAGGACTGGGGAAGGACCTCAAGCTTGGGAGAAATGTGGCCAGAGCTGTAATGGTGCAAATAAACTTGTAAACTGGTTCAAGAGGGCAACGCCAAGCAAATGGCTAGCAGGTAGCTTGTGCTTTAGACTAGTTTATTTTGCGCAAGTCAGATATTGCATGCGCTGTATCTGAAGTCTGAAGCTGATCTGTCTGGCAAACCTACTGTTGTCTACATTGTCAAAATACATGAGACAACATTTCATTTTTCCAAATTGCCATTAATTTCATTGCCTTATTTTCTTTCTTTTCCTCCTACACCAGGATGACACTTTTGAAGTGTACTTTTAAGAGCATAATTTGATCAAATGATCCAAGGGAACTCCCTATAGACATCCATGATTTAATGCTAGATCTGTTATAAAGGTTGGCTTGTCTGACAATGGCAATTGGTTTAACTCCAGTTGATTTGTAGTAATAAATATAGTGAGTTTTTTCTGTGTCAGGACTGTAATTTGTTTACACAGCTTAATCAGGAATGTATCAAATAAAGGCAAGACCCGGCCACGTGTGACGGTGAGCGTTTTGAGCATCCCAACCTCACGCAGAGCAGAAGGTGCTCGGCACATTGCTGAAGTCAGCCATTGTGCATATCCTCGTGTGAGATGCTTGCACGTGAGTTCCAGGTGACCTCAAGGAGACTGCAGGAATTCACTGGATGGTTGATTTATGGTTCAGTACTCAGTACACAGATACTCTGTGCTCTGAAAACAAGTAAGGTCAGTAACTGAATCTGAATTTCTTTGTTCTCCCTTTCCATTCTCCATTTGGGATTTCGCTTTCCAGCTCACATCACATGCACTGGAAGTCAAAGATAAGCCTCTTTTACTAGGTTAGTATTTTCATCCTAGTTCTGACTCACATCTGTGCAGGCTTTGGGCTCATCTGCTCTGTGACCACCTACCACTCTTTTCAAAGGGAAGAAGGAAACTCTTGGTATTGGGTGCAAAACTTAGAAGAGATCTGTGCCTAATAAGAGCAAGAACACAGCTGCACAAGACTCAGCATACTTCTCAGACAAATGCAGTGAAGGAAAAGATGACACGTTTAGCTAAATGAGAGATCATTACACAATACTCTTTCCATTCAGCCCCTTCTAGGAGGAAGATATACATGCACAGCAGCACTTGGGACATGAAGAGCTGCTTTAAAAGTAGATGTGGTTCCTGGTGTTTGAGTTGAGGATGGATAGTGGAGAGTGAGAAAATTGGCTGTCCCTGCAGAGGTGTCCTCCAGCCACAGCAGTGTCTGTGAAGTTGTGCTTTTCTGTACTTGATGAGAAAGCAGCCTGGGCTGGCTGAGAGCAAGCTCAGTTTGTAGGAGGAGTTTCAGACTGATACTCATTGCCTCAGGAGGAAGTTTCCGGGGGCCCAGCACAGCCTGTTAGCAGCATGAACAGCTTGAGCTACAGCAAGGAGACCCAAGCAGAAGTACACAAACATGTCCATATTCCCTCCTACTGTGGTGAAGCAGGAAAGCATGCAAGAGAGGCCTGAAAATCATTAGGCAAAAGACTTCTGTGGGCTGCATGCTGCAGGCACAGGTGTACACACAGAGTCATAAATGGAAGCTTGTGCAGGGTTCATGCTGTACCAGGAGAGAGAACTGTGCTGTGAAAGAAAGCTTTTCTCTCTCAAACAGATGGATGTAAATGATATTTGAGGGTGTAATGCAGAGAGTCGTGTTCTTTACACTCAGCCTCACGTTGTCAGAGGGTTTTGCTCGCTGCACTGCCCTGTGAAGTACAACAGTAAAGGCCTGCAACAGGAGGGAAAGAAAGTTGTAAGCCAGTGGTAGCACTAGATTAAAACAGCAGCACACAAACACGCTGACCTCTTTCTGAGCAGTAACCTTGAGTGAGAGCTGGATTGATTGATTTTATTCTGCTTGTCCATGAGAAAATAGAGCACAGCAGCACAGACTGTAACTGGCCAACAGTGCTTGCGAGCTTCAGTGATCTTTATCGTGTTTATTTCAGCTTCCAGGTCCTTAAAGATATTTGTGATGTTAAGATGTAGTATTATACTCAAAGTCTTCTTATTGGCAAAAGGGTATTGACCACAAAAGGCACATTGTGCCTTTTGTGATCTATGAATTTACTGTTAGTCCGGTTAATGTTTCAAACAGCCTAATAGTCAAAATTACAGACCCTACAGCATCAGTACAAACCTTGTTGCTTTTTAGTAATAATGGAAAAATGAATACAGGAAGGCCTCATTAAAAATAGAGTTAAAATTGCTACACAGAAATTTCCCTATTCTCTAGTGTTGTGCTTACTCTTTCAGTCTTTTGGGTCTTTGATTGACACTTCGGTATTTCTCAAAAGGTCTGGGGGAGTATTATGATGAGTCATCACCACGAAGAGTGCAATACTCATGGGAGGGGATGTCTTTCTCCTCAGTCTGGTGTCTGCTTGGATTTAGTTTTATATCTTTTCTTAACACTATCAGTTTACTGTGATTAAATGACTGATTCGTGTCATCTGTGTCTGCACTCTTCCCCGTGACTTATTCTAGCAGTCCACAATGAGTAATCATTTGTTGTTACTATAGACTAGAGTTAAACTAAAAAATCTAGTCAAGAATGTCTTAGAGCTGGACAAGCTACAGTTAAAAAAAGTTAAAACATATTTAGGCACAAACAAACCCATGGAATTGATGAGACACTGCACTGTCAGTACAAACCTTGTTGCTTTTAACTAATAATGGCAAAATCACACTTACTGGGCGTGCGTTATGTCAAGTCCCTTTGGATATGCTGTGAATTGCCGAGTTCAGCAAGGATTTGCAAACTTTTCTATGACTGCAGAATCATGACTGAGCAGCAGATACTGTTTGCATTCACACTTTCCTATCTTCTGTTGAATCAGGATAATATATATAGGTCTCACTGACCTGTATTTCTTCATTGCTATCAGGAGACCAGGTAAGAAAAAGCGTTTGATTTTCATCACTGATATAATTTGCACAATCAGCAGGAATACTGCAGTCATTAAAATGAGAGCTACAGGTTGTAGAGATGTAGGAGACCATAGTGTAACCTATAAGGATATAGGATAATTAAGGTCACATGCTTGAATCTAAGATACATCACACACACAGAGGAACAGTGTCAGACAGGTTTTACAAGAGGTAATACACAACAGTTTCTGGAATTGGGTCTATACACATACGACTGGATCGCATGTATATATGATTTAGAGACTGATTAGACATAGAAGGAGAAATATCATAGTCACAGCTGGTTAACTTTTGAGCTAAACAGTTGTCTGAAGACTGGAAACTAATATCTTCCCGTATCTATTGCATATTTCAGTGCTATTTCTTGGCATTGCTCTGAAAAGACTCACTGGTATATTCCATTTTCTTGGACAGTCTGTGTTCACAGATGCACATCTAGAATATCAGAAACACTTGTTATACATTTCCAAAATTATCAGCTTCTTGGTAGCAAAAAGAACTTTTTCATCAGCTTGGTACATGACTACATATCCTACATACATGCAGTGTTTGGAAATGTGCTAAATCCAACATGGTTTAAAATACCTCCAACACAATATTACACAAACTAATATTTTTTAAATATTATTAAAAATCTTATTTAAAAATATTTATCAAAAATATTTCTCTTGGCAAAAAAATGTGCAACTTTTTGATCCATCTTTTCTTCTATGTTTCATAAGCACTCAAATTTTCAACCATATTTGTAGCATATGTATATTTTCATGTTACAGTGATAGACATTCATATCTTGGCGATCTGTTAAGCACGGTCACTCTCAATGACAGATGTGCAGTGCTCGTCTGGAAGAACCTCACTGTGAGAGTGCCAGAACCTCCCAGGGCCCCTCTGCCAATATTTGACCATTTTTTCCAAATCCCTGGTCAGAATTGCCCATTCTCTGACTTCTGCTGGTTGCCTCTTTCCTGACCTTTGCACGTCTGAGGAAAACCTGGCTGTACTTTCAGGAAGCAGTAAATCCCCCTGCCCTCCTGGCCTTTTCAGGGCTGAAGAACCGCAGCCTCTCTTCGCATGCTACCTGCTCCAGCCTCCACTGGATGAGAGCCAGTAGGTTAATGTCTTTCTTGTACTGCAGGAGATAAAATAATTAGACACATACTTTTCATTTATAGCACCTATTCTTGTTCATATACTTACTGGAGGTGTAACACTTTTAACTGGTTTTACAGCTGTACCCTCTTCTTGAGTTTTATCCTGTTCAGTTTAGTTGGATGTGCTCCTACTTCAGCTTTCAATCTCCTTCCTCTGAAGTCCAAATTTCTCCTTGCACTGCCAGTTCTTCAGTTCCCTGTGTTACCACTTGCCAAACAGCCCATGTTTCAGCACATTATAGGCTTTTCAAGTTAAAAAAATCATTTCTTTTTTCCATTTAATTTGGAAAAGTCTTGTTCTGCTTGCTGAATACACCTGCAGGAAGGTGGAGCCCAAGGGTATGGTCCCCTCTGATGAGCTGAATAACATGCTGGCCTTTTACCAACAAAATTTAGTAAGGAAAATACTTTTAAAGAAGATGCAGTATTAGAAAATCAGTGGAGTAGCAGAGCTCTTCTGAGGTTGCCTCTGCAAAACTTCTGACAGCATGTGGCTCTGTCGTATCCAGGTATGGAGTGCTCCTGTGGTTCCTCTGCCGTCTATGACAGCAAAGGAGACTTGGAATTTAGCAGAAAGTGTTCTCTCTTCCGACGGATCAAACTCAAAGAACCTTCACTGTTAGGAATATGACCTCTTCAGGTACTTACAATTATTTACTTACCGTTATAAACAGTAGAAAATTGCCAAATCATCCTAGCAAAGGGAATAGAGCTGCGACTGCAGGTGTCAGAATTTAGTACAGAAGATGGTGTCTCCAAAATTTGTTTTTAACTGTTTCAAAAGGCTGTATAAAGGAGGGCAGGAAGCAAACCATCAGGCAGTGATAGGGCTTTTTCTTCCCCTCATTTTTTACTTATTTTTTTGGTGGTCTAAGAATAGAGGGAACACATAGCAAGCATCTTGCTATTAAATTTGCCCATGACAAATAGTGCAGCTGCATGTAGTGTGCAGGAACATCTGTAGAATCACGACATATGCAGAATCCCCCACACTAAAAGCATGACATTATACTGAAAACAGTTCAGTTGAAAAAAGCAATATAAATCCTTTTTATATAATTTTTCTCCCCCTTCTCTTTTGAATTAGGTTAACTGAAAGATTCTGTCACTCCTTCATGTCGTCAGTAAAATTCACAATATAAAAGTAACTAAGCATTTCAGGAGTGTCTCCTTCTTTCAAGTCTGTCTTTCCTGAAGAAACAGAAAGTTTAATAAAGAATAACCAGTGGCAGAAATGCACTAGACACCAGAGCTTACTCCAAGTGGAACTTGACAGAGTTTGCAGATGCAATTTAATTCTCCAGAAATCAAGGGGTGATTTTCTGTGTCTCTGTATTTTGTGCAGTTTTTCAGTTCAAAGTGAGAGGTACAATTGCTACCATCTTTGCTTCACCTATGTCAGTGACAGCACAAAATACAGAGATATAGAAAATATGTCTAAAATGTATAGCTTTCTAAAGTAAGGGGCATCTCCTTGCTCAGATTTTTTGAGTTTCCATAGCTGATGTTCAAATGCAGCTGTCATGGAGTTTAGTAGAAGTTCCTTTAAGCTCCACAGTCATAAAGAAGGACTGTGCCTTTTCCAAAATCCTTGAAGTCTTTTATTTTCCCCTGAATGATTTTAACAAAATGTTTGCTTCTTTCTTTCAAGTCTTCTATTCTTTGCTCTCTGAAATAGTTTCTTTGCAAGCCTTACAGTAAGAAACTTTATGATAGCAACGCCAACACTGAGTTTTGTAAAGTCAGAGGTTGTCTGAAGACTGTGTAATGATAATACCGTGACAAGGCAAACACAAGCAGGTATTAATGCCTGGATCATCACTGACTTGTTTCTTTGGAAACATCTTTCAATTGTTAGGAGAGCTCAGGCGTGATAACTGTGAGACCATTTCCACATCCTTTACGCAGACTGCAGGGCAAGCCTGAAGCTGGAAGGGTCAGCCACTTGTGTCATAATTTTCAACTCTATGCCCAATAAAATCCTGCAACCTAAATGTGAAAATGCAACTCCTGAGAGAGATTTCCATTATGATTTTATTGATGGTGTAATTTTGAGTTTACTGACTTGCTGATATTCTTTGGTCAAGTCCTTTGTCTTCATATGAACAAAGCCTTGTTTTCCTATTTCAGAGACATACTGTGTGTGAGAAGGTTTTTAAAGCACTCTGATGATGGCAAAGATATGTAAGTACAACTGAATTAACTGACAACATTTGCTTACTATTAATGGTATATTAATCTCTTAATTACTTTAGATACGATTCCTTATTTAATAATACGAAGATTTTTAGCATCCACTTCCCATTTTGCATGTTCAGTAACTGCTTGCACAAGATACATCATCATCTGCATCACCACTGCTGAAAGGAATATCATACACCCTGCAAAGCACTTTTGTTGGAAAATGCCCTTAATAACTTTTCAGTGTCTGACTTTCACATGAAGAAACACACATCCGGTGGTCAGATGTTAACTGCAGTCAACTGTGGCCACTCCAAGCTAGAAACGAGTGTCTGGCTGATGCGTCTGGCTCACTAATCCTTCCATTGGTGGTGCCTGTGCTTTAGCACAAGCTAAATGTAAATGTTAATGGTCCAAAAGATGCAAAGAGCTCCATGTAGTCCTAGGCTCCAGTTAATAATATAAATAGTGGTACAATGTTTAACAAGTTAGCACTATATGGAGTTGTGGAAAAATGTACCAGAGAAAGCTACATTTATATGGTATGTAGAATGGAGCACTGAGATTCCCCCTTTGCAGCTTTTACTTTAAATAAATTGAAGAGTTTTATGGTGATTCAGAAAGTTTTGTTTTTCTTGTGATAGACAGTGATTCTTGGAGAGCAGACACATGGATACATTCACCATGGATAAGTGTTTTGAGAAACGCAGATTATGAAATAAAGAATACAATTCTAAAAAATAAACTTATTTTAGACCCAAAGGAGCCAAAGTCAGCATCAAAAATGATTATTATTGCAGATGATCTAATTCTTTCAGTTGTTTGTCTTCATTTCAATTATTTCTGTTGCTGAGAGATTTCTTGTTTACAGCTTCTCAGCCAGAAGAATATCCCGAAGGAAATTACTGTCAGCAGCCAAAACCAGTATCCGTAATTCATCCTAAAGCACTGTCAACTTAATTTTAAAGTAGTTTTTCTGCTTTATGTATTCATGCTGAAGTGGTAAATTTACAAATCCATAAATCAAACCATATTAATAAAGGAAATATGTTTCTCTCTCAGATATTCTGTTTTTCTAAACATTTATTGTAAGCATAGATTTTAGTAATTAATCCTTCAATTACTAGAAAAAGGACAAAGAAATAAAATTGTGAACTGTATTTATTTTGTTCATCAGAGGGAGGTTTAAAACAGAAAATCTAGCTAACTATTGCCTACTCAACCCTAATAAATGCATACTGAACGTTCAGATCTGTGACCATTTCCTACACTTATGTCTGGGAGGAGCCAATACACAAGCCATGCCAGCCTCCTTTACTGAAGAAAAATGTCAGGTGCTAATCCCCACTTGGTGGAGCCAGCTGTTGAGCAGAATTACCAGGGTGGCACCCTGCATCGCATCTCAAAGCGTTCCCCATTTCAGGTCATACCTGCTGTGTGTCAGGTGAACATGGATGTGTTGTGCCATCAGCATGTAGAGGTGTTTCTGTGCTCTGAAGAAGCTGCTGTTTGATTTACAGTTATTAATACTCATATTCTGGCATTCAGTCAGGGAAGCTCTGTGCTACTGAAAGTACCAAAAAGGCAACAGAAGGTAACAGGTACATGTAGGACCTTGAACCTTAGGGAAAGCTCTTCTGGATGCTTATGCTCCACTGGGAGATTTTTTTTGTCACTAGTAGGATGAATTGGTACCTACCTTTACTAGGCCATTTAGCTTGTCAGCCTGCCACCAAGTCTGTGGAAGGCAGCTGTTCCCTGAAGGCAATGATGTCCTCCTGCAGGCCGCAGACTGGGTGTCCTTCAATTTCCCTTGCCTTTTATGCAAAAGGCCTAGGGCCAGGAAAAAGTATGAGTTTTGCATTGCTTCAGATACCTTAGAATTTCATGGTTTCAGACTGGGGGGTTTGCTGA